CTAAAGATGGGGATGGAGCACTTATGGTAGTGTCCCGAGTGCTATGATTTTGATTCTAAATTCAACATTAAGCCTCATTCAATAACATATTTTCTACGAGTTTCAAGTCTTTCTGTGCGCTAATATTTTACTAACAGTTTTGATGTTTAATTCTTTTTCTGGCAATCAACTTTCAAAATGGTTAAAAAAAAAAAAAAGAATCTATAGTCTGGACTCAAATAAAGAGATTACAGCCCATCAGCATGTAATGATCCGCTAGATTAACTAAATCCCCCACCCAACTGTTATTTTAAACAAATAAATGCCTTGATAAATGAGAGTAACACAAGAAACAGAATTGGTAACACAAAAAAAATAAACATAAAAACTGTTAGATTAAAGTTTTCAAAAGACTGATAAGTCAGTTAATTTTAGTTTGACAACTCTGTCGGGTAGAAACAGTTTTGGAAAGCAAAAAGCACATGAAGCAACTATTAAAAACACGATGTGTTGTCCGGTGCTAAATGAGTTAACCAAATGATAAACTGTCTCCCAAAGAGTTGCATTCAGGATGCCAATCCACAAGACAAATTCCAGATACTCTAGTCGACCTCCTAAAAAAGTATAATTGTGGCCCTCATAACAGTTACTTTTTAAGGGAATCTATTCCAGTTAATTTTTCACTCTCTTCAAGTTTACTGATTACTTCTTTATATATATTTTGACAAAAATAAATGAAAATAATACAAAAAATTTTATTAGTGACTTGTGTAAAATGGCTGCTATTTAAAGAGTTTTTTTTTCAGAAATTCTTATGGGCTCATGACCCATTTTTTGTTAGCATTCACTGGACTTTAACTGGTGTAGTAATTACATGTTAACATACTCACACATAAACCAGTTAGCAGTAAAGTGTTTCACAAACTATCAGGGGTTTCTGTAGTAAAAATTATGCAAATAATTTCAATTTACTTACTTGCTCAACTGCCTTGAAAAATCACTGTTTGGTCGTCCCCCACAAATCATATTGTAATACTATCAGAAAACGAGACATAAAAATAAATTAATGACAGAGAAAGTTGGAAGATTGACTGACAATTTTATAACATATAATGATAATTAAACATACTCTTCAAACATGTGCAGTGACTAAAAACATTCAATTATATAGGGAGAAAAGTCACATCTGAGATGCTTACTTCTTAAAGGATAGGGAAGTTTCGAAATACTGAACGCCAGAATTTGTTATCTCTTTGAGATTTAAAAAATAACTGATGTTAAAAGTTAGTTATTCCTACCATTTGTTTTTCAAATGTTATACATATTATAAAGGAAGAATTTAAAAAGTACAATGAGCCAATAAATGAAATAAAGAGAGAAATAAAAGGTAAACGACTACTTTCCAAACAATGAGGCACACAGGGTATATGATGCAAACCCCAAAATTTTAAAGATAAATCAGAATTCTTGGATGCTGTATCTTGACCACCACATCTACTTCCCAGAAGATTTCCCGGTCACCCATTTTAAAGGTAGGGTCAGCCTGAAAGGTCTGGGTCATTTTTAAAAGAGGATGTGAACCTATGAGAGATCACTGGGACAACTGGCATGCTTGCTAGCTGCTTGGCCACTGAGGCTCCCCATAAAATATTTTACAAATAAAAGTGGTAAATACATTCAGTAAAGTCAAGACTATTAGTTCAGATGATTCCAATGTTGGTTCCAGGGCTCCATTGTTGGGAAAACAAGAACAAACCCACTGCCTTTCCAACAAGCGTGTTGTAAAAGCTGACTAACTGGGAGCTTCCTTCCTTGAGAGCACCTGCCTGAGAGGCACGGAACCAGTGTCAGCAAACAAAGGAGTCAGATCTGTAAAACGGATGTGCACGCAACATTCAGGTTCTGGAACAGGACTTAGAGTCCAGAAGTGGACGAACAACCAGATCTTTCCACCAGAGTTTAAAGCCGGTGAACCCAAAGAAGAAAAAGAAAAATGAGAAGAGAAGAAGTAGTTCAGATGTTATAAATTTTGAATAATCTTTTTCTTAGCATTCACTGGCTGTAAACTCTGGCAGAAAACTGTTCATTCATTTCTGAAATGTGTGCTTGTTCTAGAAATTGAGTCTAGTGTGCACATCCATTTTACAGATCTGACTTATCTGTATGTAGGCTTGTTGGTACCCTGCCTCTCAGGCAGATCACTTCAACTTTGAAGGAAACACCTCTAATTAGTCTCCTTGTTAGGCATGACTGTGAGAGAGGCAGTGGGTCTCTTCTTTTGGCATGGTGTCTGCCTCAAGTGCTGGAGTTCCTGGGTTCACATGGATCTCTAGTAATTTCCTCTGGTCTTTGGGTAGTAAGATCGGACACCCGTGTGTAATTTTATGCACATACAAAAATCCCTTGGCAGTTGGAAATTGAAAAAGAGTAGCCTAACGGAGCTTTTGGGGTTAAAAATCTACCCAAAGTATTCCAAGATCCTTGCTGGTGCTATAGAGTTTGTGCACTGCACTGCACTGCACAGACTCAGGCTCAAGTCAGAAGTAGAACGGAGCACTTATGGATTAATGCCCTTGTGCCATGATGTTGATCCGTCACCTAAACCTAAACCCAAAACTTCTTGTTTTCCCTCATTCCAAAACTGGGCCGAGGAACCCACATAGGGAGTAACATTTGTCAACTTACATCATCACTTTGGTGAAACATTGGTAAAAAGTTGTTCTCCAGCAAATCATACGCATGCTCATATGCTCTGAAAAATCACAACAGAAAATGACAATGAAAATGCATAAATTATCTTAAAAACATAATGAAAGTTCAAGAATGATTTCATCATTAAGTAGCATCCCTGTGTGGATACCGGGGCCCCTTAATAAGCATGATGTTAAAAAGTGAGGGGTTTGTTGAAATCAGATGAGGTCGGCCAAAAGGCAAAGATCTCACAGCCTAGATATAAATCAGAAACCAACATGACATCCACTCATTTAAGAGCAAATGAATAAGAAGAAGAAGGTAAGTAGTAAACCCTTGCAAAATGTTACCACCATTTCTCGTTGCCAAAAGGCCAATTTGTCTTTTTTTAAAATGTGGACACAAACAATACAATGCAACAAATTTGATCGGGTTGAAGAATCAGCTAGAGAAGGAGTTTATGAAAGCACACAGGGCTGAAGAACGAGCTAGAGAAGGAGAGACTTTCAAGCTTGAAGATAGCTATATGCTGTAAACGACCTGCTCAGTGATGATGATAAAGGTAAGTAAAGTCAGTTGAGGACACTCTTTAAGATAGCAGTGCATCAATTATATGCACACCATACTCACAATTTATAGACCTGTCCTGCACTTGATAGGTGATGTGGTCAACATCATGCCAGTCACCTCCTCTTCTTTTTCCTTCGAGTTCACCAGCTGTAAACTCTGCCGGGAAGTTCAGGTCCTTCAACCACTTCTGGGCTCTAGTCCTGTTCAAGAACCTGAGTGTTGCGTGCACATTTATTTCACAGGTCTGATTCATTTGCATGCAGACCGTTGGTTCCTTGCCTCTCAGGCAGATGTACTCTTTTTTAAAGTAAGCTCCCAATTAGTCGACTCTTACGACATGCTTCTGGGCAGGCAGTGGGTCTGTTCTTGTTTTCCCCCACAATGGGGCCATGGAACCCACAGGGGGATCTTCCCAGGGCATAACATGGCACTCATTTTACGCTAGACTTACCTAAGAACGTAGACATTTTTTTTTTTTTTTTTTTGCCTGAATACAGGTTTGAACCCTAGATTTAAAGGCTGGCAAGCATCTAGCCACTTTAATACCATGGTTTCCTAGGTATAAAAGTAGTCCTAAATAATTCACTACTGCTGGGTGTGATGTGTTAGTTATATCTTCACATTTCCTGTGCCATGATATACAGTTACATGACCATTTTCCTTCCTTGGTGCTTTTCCCTTCTAGACAATCACCAGAAAATTCAAAAAATTGTTTGGAGCCCATGTTTATAAACCTGGGTTGACCCCGAAGCCGATAAAAGTCAGAAAACAAAAATAGCTCAGCCTGTTTCAGATTAAAACCTAACCACCATCTGAGCAAGTGCTAAGACAGAATAGAGAAACTGTCATTTCAAGGCACATCATAAAGCAGAAATGACCATCAAATGTAGCATCTTACCCCTTTCAGCCCACAAATTCGTAGGGGAAAAGTTCGCGAAATGGAATTCCCCCTGCCTGCAACACACATACACAAAAACAAAACAATACAAAAACACTCATTTAACCCTTTTTTTCAAAATTTCATTCAAAAAAGCAATGCATCATTATAATCCTCTGAAACTCTCCCCTATTTAGAAGCACACAGAAAATTGCAGTCTTAATCATTTATTTTAAACGGGAAAAAAAAAAAGGGGGGGGGGGGGTTGTGTGTGTGTGTGTAAAAATATAACTGTACCCACCATGCCTAAAAACTACGCAGTTGCAACCAGTACCAAAGCTGTTATATATGTCTACTGGCCATTGTCCAAAGATATCATGTGATTTTTAAAACCCGTAAAATCAGAAATGTGGCCTTCTTGGGTAGACAGGGATTAAAAAAAAAAAAATAACCATTTTACACACTAAAATTTTTTATGAAAACTGTAAGAAATTTATTAAAGAATGAATTAATAAGCATGAACTAAGGGAAGAAGTGAATGGAAAACATTCCCTTAAGAGTAAAAAAAAATTTTTTATGTATACAGTGACTCATACAGAGACGCCGTCACTATGTGACCACTAAAGGCAAATTATGACTAAAACAAGCCATTATTTTTATATTAGCCCCCTTCTTCAAATGGTGTTTTAGTAAATATGATTATATCCAGCCTTCCTAAACACTGTGCATGTACAAACGAAACAATGCTATTAACTAGGCTTGTCAGTAACTGACTATTGCTCGGGGAGTCGTTTTGAGCGGCAGGCTGAATTATCAGTCTCTCAGGATGTTATGGTTAATGAACAATAAATAAAAGGTACTGTATTTAATTTGTAAAACTCACCTAAATAACGGTGTTGAAGTCCTGAGCCTAACTATTTGCTCTGGAGGTCCCTCAACAACTGTTAATAAAAGAACAGACAACAGATGTTGATACTGAGTAGCAACTTATACTCTTTCTCTCTCTCTCTCTGCTTTTTTTCTGAATCTTTCTGTATCTGTTGGTCTGCCTCTCTCTCTCCATTTTTCGCCCCAAAAAAAAAAAAGCGCACGGGCATTCACAGCACGCTCAGCGGGCAGAACAGTCAAAGAAGCAATGGCGCCTTCTCCATGACAACCAGCAGCATGACGATGGAGGTGATGGCAGTGACGCAAACGATTGCCTGGCTCAAAACACAAAACTACACCCACGTATGTATAGTGATTCAATGAGTATGATACGGAGGAGTTCGGTGCAAAAAAGACAATGGCCTGAATGATTACAGAAGTCCACTGTGCATGGAGTTACCTTTATTTTTGTTCCGGGACAACCAGGCGTCCATGGAAATGAAAGAGCTGATAGGTTGGCTGGATCCGCTACCACTACCGACGGTCAGCCTATGGATCATGCTGATATTTTTAATGCCCTCAGAGAAATGGGAAGGATATGGCTGGTGAATTGAGGACTTTGGGGGCAGTGAATCCATCTCACTCGCCAGAATGGCAGACTTGGGAATTAAGATCGGCACAGCAAAAAACGAGACGTAGAAGACTTCTTAATCAACATAGAACTGGAACTATTAGCCATCGGATGTTGAGGTTCATACTGAGGGGAGAATCTGAGCACCTATGGACATGTCCGGAGTGCAATGATAACCCAACCAACTAACTAACTAATCTCTCTCACTCCCCCCTCTCCCTCTCTCTCTCACAAATATGTCCGTATATGATATTAAAAGTATATGTGGTTAGTATACACTGATTCAGAACAATATTCTGGGCAACTGAAACCAACCTTCTCTTAGTGCTTCCACAATATCATCATCAAATTTGATCCTATCTGTCGCTGTTGGGGCACAATAGCTCTGGTACAGGTTCTTGAGAATGGCATGGAGTTCAACGCATTCACTTTGTGAAACATCTGGATTCAGGATGCGTCGGTTAAAATCATCTGAAACAACAAAAGTTGAAAACATAAAAAAACTGGTAATCAACATTTTTGGATATAATGCCTTCTTAGCCTCAGCTGTAAACTCTGGGGGAAAGTTCTGGTTGGTCGTCCACTTTGGGACTTTGGTATTGTTCTAGAACTTGAGTTTTGCATACCACATCCATTTTACATGTCTAGCTTATTTTTATGCAGACTGCTGGTTTCTCGCCTTTCAGGCAGATGTAGACTCTGAAGGAGTTTACAGCAGGTGAATGCCAAAACCAAAACCAAAAAACTCAATAGCTCTGAATAAGGACACCGTGAGCACCACCTCTCCCCCATTTTGTTTCCGCCCCGCCCTAACTGTTAAAGGGTTTAAGGTAGGGGCTGAGCCCTCACCCTATAATTTTCTGAAGCCAGGCTGAGTGACACTGCCCCCCACCCACCCCCTCCCATTTCCACTTTTTTTTCCAACAGAAGATTTGCAAGAAGACTAACTGCCTTTAACTATGTATAGAAGTTCTTCTTTTAAGTATTTGTGAATATATTAATCTTCTTCTTCTTCTGCGTTCATTCGAAGATGTAATTGCGTTGTGTCCGTTTACAGCACGGCTGCGATATTTGCACCTTTCGGTCAACACATCCGACTTCTGCGGGCATTTGTTGACCGGGTTAGCCTTCCGGGTATATATATATATATTCATCTTATTTTAAATGTCTTATTATTTGTATTTGGCCTTTAGTACATTTTAATAGTAATAATTATTATTACTGTGCACTAAACAAGGTTTAGACCGCTTGAAGGCAACCAAACCTCCCCAAACTTTCCAGCACTACAAAGTTATAAGGGGCTGAACACCCACCCACCTGCCTTCCTTCATGATAACATCCATGGCTTAGTACTCGGGGCATTCCCATAAGTGCTCCGTCCCCATTTTCAGCAGCCAGCAAAGAGTTTCGATACTAATGGTGCCAGTAGCATTCTGATTAAACGTCCATCTTGGCTTTCCTCTGAGCCTCGAGCATCTGTCAGAACCTCTCGTCACTCCCCCCTGCCTCAATCTCACCAGACTGTGGTGATCTACCTGCTCCTCTGAACTGTACACGCTCTCCCACAAGGCACTAACCATGTCTGCCTTATCGCCCAATGTTCTCAAGGATGCAAACCTGTCTGATTGTGTCTTCTGTCAGAGCCATCCATGACTTCCCTCTTAATCAGCCGCTGATGCTTAACTGCACCCAGAGCTTCATGCAAAGGGTGGTCTGTGTCTGCAGCTACCCTGAGATATGACTTCGCCTGCAGCACCTTGTGCCTACTTGCAACTGTCGGCAAACCAAGGATGTATCGCATAGGCACCACTGGGGTGTCTCTGGTGCAACCCAGAATGACCTGCATAGCTGCGTTCTGAATGCGCTCTAGTTTCTCCATCTGACTCTTTGAGATGGTAAGCATTCCCAGACCATAATCAACCACTGACAGGATCAGGTGCTGATATAGTGTGAAAAGCATTCTCTACTATATGTCAATTGCAGCCATAGACTTAAGTGCACTAAATCTTTTTTGGCATCTTGTCACAACGCTCTCCACATGGTCCTTAAAGGACAGGCTCCTGTCAAATATAATTCCCAGATACTTCAGTTTGCTCTCTCTGTTGACGTTTCTACCATCTATCGTGAAACTTGGGACATTAGCTTTAACAATCCTGTTGTCCAGAGAACACCACAAAATAGATGCCTTTTCCGGGTGGACAGTCCTTATTTGTGTACACCACGCAGTCACTTTGTCAACTGTCACTTGTTTGTTCCCTTTCTTCCCCCTGTCTATATGCAAGTATATCATCCGCAGAAGTCAGTATCCTTCCAACTCCTGGTGCTTCTAGGCTTCAATCTTGCTTGTATACATATTGAAGAGCACAGGCGAGATGGTGGATCCCTGTTGCAGTCCTGGGGCCAAACTGTATGGTTCTGAGGCCAATGAGCCCAGTCGGAGAGCAACACAACGTGAATACAGGAAAGCTGCAACTCAATTCACCAGCCATGGACTGACCTCCTTCTCCTTCAGTCATTAAGATGTTGTACCTTACTCTGTTATAAGCATCCTAGAGATCCAGTGCTACCACCATAGTTTTCTGTCTGTTCTAGTAATGGGTTCTGCAGCATAGTTACCATCTTGCATTCAGGTACTCACCACAGGCTAAACAAAACTGCAAGACGTTGACAGCAGCTTCACTTTTGAGGAACTGCATGAAAGGGTACAGGAGTTCTTGACAGGCAGGGTTGATCACATCTTTCAGCTTTAAATGCAGACACTGAGGAGACAAAACAAATACTCATGTTGGTTAGGTCTTCCTTAAGTGAGTTCATGTTAAAGAGGGCTTACAATATTTTCTCCATGCTGTGTGGTATTGGTAGTCATATAACAACATTCCGTTTCATGTACTTTCAATCAACTCTGTCACAGATGATCCTCCATGCCATGACGTGAAACTGTACAGCATCTTTTCTCTTGGTCTCCCTATGCCTCTCCTCCAAAGAATGTAGATTTCTCTAACTGATATGGGCAATCAGTTTTCTTCGTGAGTCAGTTTCTTCCAAGACATCCTCATTACTCTATTTATCGGTCCAGGGTATTCTCATCATTCGTCTTTAAAACCACATCTCCGCAGCTTCCCAAAAATGTTTCAATCTACCAACTATCTGTAGTTCACTTTCGTAAATCAAAATAGGATTTATATAGATCTTTCAAGAATTCTCTTTCTCGTCTCAAATGACAATGGAAGATTGACTAAAATATTCTTCCCTTTGTAAAACTCGTGTCTTTGCTTGAGTTATATACTACATTTAACTTCATTAATACATCTTCCATCTGTTATTAGGGTAACCAAGTATTTAAACATATCAACTTGCTTGAGGATCGTCACATTTACTTTAATGCTGCATTCTGGAAGGTCAGTTTTCTTCATAATTACCATAACTTCTGTTTTTCTTCTGTTCAAACTAAGATCTTGTTTTCATTTTCCGTTACAATTATATGTATCGTTTCTCACAGTTGTGTTTCATTTTCAGCGATTGAAACCATATCGTCTGCAAGTTTTTATTTATAACATATTATATATATATATATATATATATATATATATATATATATATATATATATATATATATATATATATATATATATACACACACACATACATATACATATATATATATATATATATATATATATATATATATATATATATATATATATATATATATATATATATATATATATATATATATATTTAAATATATTGTTTAAATAATATTTCACTTTAATGGAAAACATTTAGCTGGGGGGGGGGGGGGGGGGGGGGGGGGTTGTGTTATTGTTGGGGAGGGGGGTGTGGCTCTTTAACTCTTTGAGTCCCAAGGAACGTTTCATACGCTAATTGGTTACTACCTGGCGGCCCAATTAGCGCATGATGTGTGACGGTTTTTAATTTACCACTTATCGGTTATTACACGCGAACCGCTCAATTTAAACTTCCTTTCCGGTTCTCAAGTGTGTAGTGAACACACGTGGAGTTAATTCGTTTGGTTCTGGTTAGTTTTTAACGCTGTAAATCTATATTTGTGTGGTCTACTACGTTACCAAACAATTGTGTGAAAACAACATATCCAATCAGTCATTGTCTTCACGCCCAGTAAAGCGATTTACTACTTTAGAAACATCAAATTTAATAAAACAGTGGATCGATCAAAGTAATGTGGAGCTGGATAATGATAGTAGCGACGTGGAATTTCCCCAAACCAATGACGAGTCAAGATCTGATTAGGAATGTGTGCGTAATTTACCTCCTGCTAAGAGGACAAAACTTACTAATTCTGCCATGGCAACACAAGAGATTAGTGGTGCTGAAGCATCTCGTAACGTGACACCAGCTAGTCCAAATGTCAGCGCTTCTAGTACTACTATCCATAACATCTAAAACCAGAGATATATATATCTATGAACAGGTTGACATGTTTTCAGTGCCTTTAAAGTTTTTTTTTTTTTATGTGAGGAATTCAATTGTTTTTAGAAAAGTCACTGTTTGTGCCACTGGAGAATTTAATTTGACGTGTTATGGTAGTGTTATTAAAATTGCTTTGGAACAACAACTATTGCACATTTTGCTTTAATATTAGCTGTGCATACTTATAAGTGGTGTACCTTCCTTTGTGGTGCATTTTGGATATACTATATCAAGAATTTTGGGATCAGCTTCTGGTTAAGTGGAAAAAACTTGTTCATAATTTACTAACCTCTCAAACTAAGTCACTACTAAATACTAACTAATGGTATAATTGTTTGTTGTAGCAGTATGCTAATATTATTCCTTATCCATTTATGTTCATTTCCATGTATGATATGTGTATGTTGGACATCAGCTGCAGTTGTGTAGTTTGTTTTAAAGTGCTGCATTTGTTAAAAGTCAAAATCATATCACCCACCTTGGGCCTCTGATGCAAAACACCCTGGGACTCAAAGAGTTAAGACATCCCAATTTGCCTGCAGCCCCATAGCAATTGGGTCATGAAGTCTCGGTATGAGTGACTATCAATTTTTAGGCCTAGGAAAACATTTTTAATTCTCTTCTCTCTTGATGTTTAATGATTACTCCTCCATATATTTCTTTAAAAAAAATGTTTAATGTACACAAATTAATTTGTTTAATTTATTACTGGCCATTGCTAAATTTGCTTTAAAACAATAATTTTTTTAAGGGTTTCCTCGGGTTCTTGGCTTTTCCCCCTTAGGGTTTCTAGATAAAACGGTTAGGAGTTTATTTATTGGACTGATAATGAATATGTGCACTTTGTGATATGCTCTCAACAAGTAGCTAGAAACAGCGAAAGAGAAGAGAGAAGAATACATTTTACAATACTCACGGACTGGTTATGAGCCCTGGGCTGGCTAAATTGACCTAAAAATGGCACCAACGGGGATGGAGCCTCTGTGGCTTCTGGCGGCTGTAAATCGATAATATTTAAGTAATTGAATAGGAAATTTTATACAATAAAGGTACAAAAATATTGTTAGTGTGTAATGAATAAATTTAACATAGAAACAAGTCACTGTGACTTGTATGCATTCTAACATGCATTCTAAAATTTGAAAAGTACTTACATTGTAACGAATCAGGTAAAACAGAAACGAGTCACTGTGGCATTCTAACATTTTAAAATACTGTCAGTGTAATGAATAATTTAAAACGGGAATGAGTCACTGTGTGAATTCTAACATTTAAATCATATAGTCAGAGTAAGGAGTAACTGAGAACAGAAACGAATCACTGTGAAACTATGCATTCTAAAATGTGAAAAATACTGTCATCAAACAGTAGGCATTCTAACATTTTATTTGCTACTGATCTGACAGAATCTCCTGTCTCAGGTATTCTAATGTATAAAGTCAATTGAGCATTTCAACTGGCCAACATATTTCAGTTGCCGAAGCATGATGCTGCTAACTTGTTATGTTTTTCCGATGTTCAGATTTTTTAGAATGTCAGTTTTTTGTTCTTGATACATGATGTTCTAAGAACTTTCTGTAAAATTTAAAAGAATCATGTCTTAAATCAATTTTACTCCAATCCTGAAAAAAAAAAAAAAAAGCCTTCGCTTCTAAGACTTTTTTTTTAAACATTATCCGAGAGGGGTTGCTATTTGTCCATTACCCTAAGAATCAAAGTAGAAGTATACGATCCTTGATTCCTTATTTTGTAAAATACCATAGCAGTGATTCATACTTGGTCTACTCTGATAAAAAGTAGACTATGTACCTTCTCATTGGCCTCCAACATCATTTACAGTAGGTTACAGCAGAGTTTCCCAAACTTTTCTTAGTCGCTGCACCTTTTTTTAATTAAAACTTTTCAACGACACCCTAACCTAAGTACAAGTATGACTATTCGTATGTAAGAGATGAAAAAAATAAATAAAACTCGTGTATCTTTGAATATTTCGCGGCGCCCCCTGTGAAGAGGTCGCGGCTCCCAGGGGTGCCGCTGCACGCAGTTTGGGAATCACTGGGTTACAGAGTTATTATTCTTTTGTTTCCTCACGAACCCTGGTAACACTTGGGCAATCTATATTAATAAAAATCTTAATTTTCCGGTGTGGTTAGCTCTAAACTCGGAAACTACAGAACCAATTGCTTTCAAATTTTCACACAACGTTGCCTCTGACTCAAAACGTTATTTTTTGTAATAAAATCGCACAAACCACGAACGACGTAGCTCCAGCAACGGTCAAATCATTATTTGTTAAGTTGCCTGCCCGGATTTATTTTTAATGAATTCGCCACCTTTGACTGTGCAACACCGACCTTCACATTATTATTATATACTTTCATTTCTACTAAAATGCTTGAGTTTTCAGTAGCGTAGTTAGTTGTAAGCATTTCGTTTTTTTACTCGGGTGATAGGGGGTTCGATTCCCCGCTGGGTGATATAATTTTTTTTCCCCTAACTGGGTGGCTGACATGTTTTGTTGTGGTTTATGGCTAGGCTGCAGTATCTACGCTTTTTTTCCGTTCGATTCTGAGGTTTACAGCTAGCCTGCGATAGCAGCGACGTGATGCTCAATGTTCATGTCACAGGTAATATTTATTCGCCCTTGAGAGGGCAGTTGGCACGTTGTGTTGTGGTTTACAGCTAGGCTGAGATATCTGACCTAAAGTCTTCAGTCTTCGGTTGCAGAGTTGTAAGTATTCCGCCCTTCATGTGTATAACGGGTGTTCGATTCCCGGCTGGGTACTAATTTTTCTTTTTAACCCAAAGGGACGATTGGCACGTTGTGTTGTGGTTTACAGCTAAGTTGCGACATCTGCGTCTTACGCCCAAAGACACCCAATTTAAGTACAGTCCACATCATATATCAGTAAAGTCCCATTTATCCTCCCTGCGACGCTTCACTCGATAATAAACTATTCGTAGATTACAGAAGCTGTTAACTAAGACTGCTTACAGTCCAGTTTACTTTGGGTGGACACGGATGCCAAGGTTATTTAATATTCGTCCCTTCGGAGAGGGGAGATGACGGGTGGAGGTTTTTATTTCCGCTATTTGTGAGTATAGAACAGACTATTACTGTGGGTTCCATCACTGGTTAGGCGATTGAGTTTTTTTGTTTTTTTGTTGGGAGCTCAATTACAACTAAACAGTCCGTGGCGACATCATGCAGCGCTAACCCCTCTGGTTACACCGACCTGCACAGACAGTAGTGACTGTTTTTTGTTTTTGTTTTGAAGGGTGGTGGTGGTAGTGGTAGCAGTAGTACTGGTACTGGATGGGTGATGTGGTAGCTGTTACACTGGCCACTTTTACTTCTCATTACACATTAATGCTATCCATCTGTCTCTGGGTGGACACGGATGCAAAGCTCAGTTCAGTTACAATATTTCGTCAGATGATCCTTCAGCGAGGATGATATGATTAGTGGGGGGAATAGGGGAAGGGGGGAGGGGTTGATGGCAGACACTGTTAACTGAGAGAGCTTAAAACATTATTTTAAAGTTATCATTTCTTAACTATTTCTATTTTAATAATTTCGCCAAGTGATGATTTTTCAATCCTCCGGAGAGGGAGATATTACTGGGTGGAGGGGAGAGGGCAGGGGTTGAGGGTTATGACAGACACTGTTAGTTGAGAGCTACTTTCTTTCTTTTCCATTTCACCATTCGGGGCCACAGCAACGCGTGGCAGGGCACAGCTAGTTCTCTATAAATGAGTGAGTGAGTAGCTGTGGGGTTAGAAAGCTGACTGAACACTGCATGGGACATGGGTTCCAATTCCTTGTAAAAGAACAATGTTTGATAAAACAGGGATGAAATAAAAATCCCAAACGATATGCTGCATGTCAACTGCTTACGCAAGCCACTTTTATTCACACTGCCCATCCCTTCCAGGGCCTCATTCTTAGGGGAAAAGAACTGACCCACTGCCCCCTAACAAACATATCAGAAATGGTGATAATTATGGCTGTTTCCTTTAAGCTGAAGAACATCTTCCACAGAGGATAAGAACCAGCAGGCTGCATATAAATAAGTTAAATCTGTAAAACTTATGTGCATGCAAAACTCAAATTCCGAAAAAAGCCTAAAGTCCAGAAGTGGGAAAAAATTAGTAATTTTCTGTCAGATTTTACAGCAAGTGAATGCAGAGAAAAAGAAGATACACTGTCTACACTGTTCCCCAGACATGAACATATATCTAGCAGAACTAATTTTCTTAGTTAAATAATGACATTTCAACATTTACAATCAACTTACTGGGGTGTTGTCAAAGAATATCAGGAGTAAATTATTTAAGAGATCCTGTGGAAAATAGAAGTGGTAAATTAGTGAACATGAATAGCATTTGTCAGTTTATCATCATCTGGTAACACTGCGTGTCGTTTGGTCACCAGTTTCTATTGATTGTCTGATCAGCTCCCTTCACCTTTGGCAGTCAGTTGCGTTGGACTTCATTGCTGTCCAGTCAATCAGGTTCTGTAACCAGGTCTTTCTTGGTCTGCCTCTTTCCCTCTACTGAGCCCTGCAGTATTGTTTTTGAGAGGCCATTAGATCTTATTACAAGTCCATACAATTGGGTTTTTCACCTTTTCGCTGTAGTTAAAAGAAGTTCATAGTTGTCAATGTGCTGTATAATTATATGGCGAACCTCTTCGTTTGTAATTTGGTCTCTGTATGATATGCCAAGAATTTTTCTGAAACATTGCATTCTCAATGTTTGTATCTTCCTTTCACATTCAGCTGTTAGGGTCCACACTTCACAGCCATATATTTGTCAGTTACTAAACAATAATGAAAAAAAAAAAACATAGGTAAAGATAAGTCACTTATCGTCTGGTAGACTTACTACTTGCATATATACTGATCACTGACAGGTTTTGTATAGCGCTCATTTGTCTGCTGTTACTCTTTTGTGGATTCCAGCTATTCTTTTTTTTTTTTTGGGAGGAGCGACTGGCCGAATGGTTACAACGCTAGGCTCTCATGCAGAAGACCCGGGTTCGACCCTCGGTAAGGTGATAGAGTTTTTCTAGGAGAAGGGGGGGGGGGGGGGGCAAAATTAAACATCCTAACCTGCACAGTCCATGGCAACAGCACTAGCCATACACAGGGCTCATGACCCCCTGTCTACACCACCCTAAGAAGGTGGTAAGACAGACAGTAATAATAGTTTACTGTCTTTTCAATGTAAGTAACCCGCTTCCTGTAATTTTTACATGCATCACTCCTCTCAAAATTTTAATGCACTTAAACTCGCCTCTTTTATTCTTTTTCTGCATTCAGATTTACAAAAGTGGTTGCAAGCTATGTTGTGGTTTACAGCTAGACTGCAAAATCTCCACCTTCAGGCCTAATACATCTAATTTCAGCAAAACTTAGTTAGTCGCCTGTTAAAATATTGTTCGTTAGGGAGAAGTGGGATCTTTTTGTTTCTTCTCAAAAGTAAGACCCTGGATCCCACACTTAGAACCTCCTTACGTTCTGCACGGTGCAGTGGTGACAAAAAAAATTTTTTTTTTAATGTAAAGTTACAGGGAGGAAACATAATAGACCCACTGCCCTCTAACAAGCATGTCACAGAGGGCGACTGATTGGGGATTTTTCTTTTGAAGTCAGAGCATCTGCCTGAGAGGTAAGGAACCAACAGTCTCTCAGAGCATATGCCTGAGAGGCAAGGTACCAACAGTCTCTTAGAGCATCTGCCTGAGAGGCAAGGAACCAATAGTCTCTTAGAGCATCTGCCTGAGAGGCAAGGAACCAATAGTCTCTTAGAGCATCTGCCTGAGAGGCAAGGAACCAACAGTCTCTTGGAGCATCTGTCTGAGAGGCAAGGAACCAACAGTCTCTTAGGAGCATCTGCCTGAGAGGCAAGGAACCAACAGTCTCTTAGAGCATCTGTCTGAGAGGCAAGGAACCAACAGTCTCTTAGAGCATCTGCCTGAGAGGCAAGGAACCAACAGTCTCTTAGAGCATCTGCCTGAGAGGTGAGGAACCAACAGTCTCTTAGAGCATTTGCCTGAGAGGCAAGGAACCAACAGTCTCTTGAGAGTCTCAAGGTGAGGGAACCAACAGTCTCTTAGAGCATCTGCCTGAGAGGCAAGGAACCAATAGTCTCTTAGAGCATCTGCCATGAGGAACCAACAGTCTCTTAGAGCATAAGTCTGAGAGGCAAGGACCAACAGTCTCTTAGAGCTTGGAACCAACAGCATCTTAGAGTGTCTGAGAGGCAAGGAACCAATGAGGAACCAACAGTCTCTTGGAGCATTTGCCTGAGAGCCAAGGTACCAACAGTCTCTTAGAGCATCTGCCTGAGAGGCAAGGAACCAACAGTCTCTTAGAGCATCTGTCTGAGAGGTGAGGAACCAACAGTCTCTGAGAGGCGAAGCATTGCCTGGAGCATTTGGAGCAAGGAACCAACAGTCTCTTAGAGCATCTGCCTGAGAGGCAAGGAACCAACAGTCTCTTAGAGCATCTGTCTGAGAGGCAAGGAACCAACAGTCTCTTAGAGCATCTGCCTGAGAGGCAAGGAACCAACAGTCTCTTAGAGCATCTGTCTGAGAGCATTTGCCTGAGAGCCAAGGAACCAACAGTCTCTTAGAGCATTTGCATCTGTCTGAGAGGCAACAGTCTCTGGAGCACCAACAGCAAGGAACCAACAGTCTCTTAGAGCATCTGTCTGAGAGGCAAGGAACCAACAGTCTCTTAGAGCATCTGTCTGAGAGGTGAGGAACCAACAGTGTCTCAAGGAACCAACAGTCTCTTAGAGCATCTGCCTGAGAGGTGAGGAACCAACCAACAGTCTGTCTCTTAGAGCATCTGCCTGAGAGGCAAGGAACCAACAGTCTCTTAGAGCATCTGTCTGAGAGGTGAGGAACCAACAGTCTCTTAGAGCATTTGTCTGAGAGGCAAGGAACCAACAGTCTCTTAGAGCATCTGCCTGAGAGGCAAGGAACCAACAGTCTCTTAGAGCATCTGCCTGAGAGGCAAGGAACCAACAGTCTCTTAGAGCATCTGTCTGAGAGGTGAGGAACCAACAGTCTCTTAGAGCATTTGCCTGAGAGGCGAAGAACCAACAGTCTCTATAAGCATCTGCCTGAGAGGCGAGAAACCAAGAGTCTGCATATAAATAAACCAGAACTGTAAAATGGATGTGCATGCAAAACTCAAGTTATGGAACAAGACCAAGGTCCTGAAGTAGATGGACAACCCTGCAGTTTACAGCCAGTGAACACAAAGAAGAAAATACTGGCATCTACTTTCAGTAACTCTTGAAGCTACTTACTGGATTAGCTATTGCATCCATGGTGGGTAGAAGTACAGAACCTGCTAATAATTCTCTCACCAAGGCACAAGTACTCCTGAAACATAAAAAATACAGCCATGTTCCACATGTGAAGAAATGTAACCTGGTCCCTATCTATCAGGCTGACAGCTCAATGACAGCTTTTATTTCAAAATAATTTTAGGTTATGCAAAGTTATTGTTTTGGAGCCGTTGCGGTGTAGCGACTAGACACTCACCTGCGGATCGGAAGGTAGTGGGTTCGCATCCTGACTTTTAAAAAAAATGACCTTGGCTCCTGGGTCAACCCAGCCGTGAGCAGTACCAGGTATAGTCCTTGGAAGTAAAGGTGGCTAACGTGATGTTGACCACATCACCCATGGAGTTATTATCATCATCAATCAGCAAGTCCTTTACAGAACATCGCTCTTTTTTTTGGCACGCATTAAAGTACCCCTTTCCCCAGCCAGCTCTCCCGCCACATGTGCTTTCAATGCCAATGCATCTTCAATGTCTTATATCCATCTTTGCGGTGGTCGACCCCTGCCTTGCTTTCCACAAACTGCACCTTCCATCACTGTCTTTTCCAAGCCACCATGATGCTTGATGTGGCAAAAATACTTCAACTTGCGGGACAGGATGCTGTTTATGAGCCAGTTCTCCCTGATGTTTAACTTGTTCAGTGTGTCAATATTTTTCCTCTTCCTGATCCATGGCATTTTAAGAATTTTTCTATAACATTTCAATTCGAAAGCTCCAATCTTTTTCCTCAATGACTGAGTGAGAGTCCAAGACTCACAGCCATAAGTTGCCACAGGAAAAATGCAGGATGTTAAGATATTTACTTTAACCAATTTACTAGTGCTTTGCCATAGGTTCTTCATGCTATTTAATCTCTGCACTGCTAATGCAAGACTTCTTCTGACCTTTTTTAAGCAGACACCACTGTTGTTCACTAAAGAGACCAGAGAGTACTTATAAGTCTGTAAAATACAGGTCTTGCCCTATATGCCCAATATGCCTGAAGGCATGAAAAATGGTCCTTTACAATTATTAATAAATAACAGAAACATTCTGCATGCAACCTGACCACATAACTGCTTACAGCAATTACTATTTAAACAGGAGGGTTACCAGAAGGCAACACATAAGGTGGACTAACACTTACTTTGAATTAAGAGCCTGTGGTGGTAGTATACAAGGAAACAGAGACTCAACAAGCCTGCGGAGATATTCCAGCTCTGCCTTCCTGCTCCACATAGCACAATGAATGTTAGAGCCCATATAGTCAAGGACAATCTGTTGCAAATCTCCTTCATACCCAGCTGCAACATGAAATTATGTTAAGTAGAAACAGTTGTTGTTGTCGGGCAATCTATTGTAAAACATCTTCATATCCAGTTGTAAAATGAAATTATGTAGAAATATTTAGTTTCTTTTAAGGCAATATGTTGTAAAACATCATCATATCCAGTTGTAATATGAAATTAAGTAGAAATATTTTGTTTGTTTTAGGGCAATTTATTGTAAAACATCTTCATATCCAGTTTTTACATAAAATTTTGTAGAAACAGTTTTTGTTTTAGGGCAAAATATTGAAAAACATCTTTATATCCAATTGCAACATAAATAATGTAGAAATATGTTGTTTGTTTTAGAGAAATATGTTGGTATACATCTTCATTTCCGGTTGTAATGTGAAATTATGTAGAAATACAGTGTCTCTTTTAGGTTAGTATGTTGTAAATCATCATTTTTATCCAGCCTTAATATGGAATTATATAGAAATAAGGTATCTGTTTTAGGTAAATCTGTTGTAAATCATGTTTGTATCCATCTATATTATGGAATTATGTAGAAATACTGAGACTGTTTTAGGTTAGTCTGTTGCAAATCATCTTTTTATCCATCTGTAACATGGAATTATATAGAAATACATTATCTGTTTTGGGTTAGTCTGTTGTGAATCATCTTTTATTCATCCATAATAATGGAATTATGTAAAAATAGTGTCTGTTTTGGGTTAATCTGTTGTAAATAATCTTTTCATCCAACCATAATAATGGAATTATATACAAATACAGTGTCTGTTTACAGTGTCTGATTTAGGTTAATCTGTTTTAAATCATCTTTTTATCCATCTGTAACATAGAATTACACGGAAATAGTGTCTGTTATAGGGTAATCTGTCGTAAATCATCTTTATCGATCTGTAAAATGCAATTATGTAGAAATAGGATGTTTTATGTTAGTCTATTGTAAATAATCTTTATTTTTGACTGGGTCAACGTGGGAGCCAAGGTCAGTTTTGATAAAAATATGTCTCAATTTCAATCTTTTTTCTTTCTGGTTGTTTATCCACTTATGGACGTTGGTCTTGTTTCAGAACTTAAGTTTTGCATGCGCATCCGCGTTTCTTGCTTCTCAGGTAGATTCACTACAACATCAAAGAAAAACACTAATTAGTTGATTTTTACAAAATGCCTGTTGGAGAGGCAGTAGCTTTATCTTATTTTACCCCCACAATGTGGCACTTTATGTTCTCTAGATTGCAACAGAATATATTTTTAAAAAATATAAATGCAATATCATTACAGAACAGACTAACAAGTCTTAACAAACATAAACGAAAACAAATAGATATAAATATATTACAAGTGACAATAAGATAAAATGCAAAAACAAATACCTTTCTCAAAAGCCTGTATGCATAAGTCTATATGTTGCACGCCTGCATGCAAAATTTTGTGGGTCACTAGATGAGGAATGTCTACCTGCAAACAATGGCGATAAACGAGGTCAAGTTATTATCTTCAGAAATAATTTAAAACAATTAAGAAGATAATCTTTTGAATTTGTTAACAGGCTCTCCTGTCAACTACGGCTGGTAGACAACAGTCAACGGCCGGTTAGTCGGAGTTCTGTCCCCTGGCTGCAGTGCAATTACAGACTGGAGACGGCACGAATAAAAAAACACAGTGAGGTCGACATGCCTGGCAGACCCACGCTGCGACTCAAATTAGCGACCGCGTTCAATTACCGCATCTTGCGAAGCATTATGGAGTGGACTAGAGGGAACAAAACAAGTGACATAATTACTGTGTGTCGGCGATAGACGGCGTGCAGTGCACTAGGGTTAGGGTTAGGGGTAGGGAGTGGGTTAGGTTTAGGGTTAGGGTTTGGGTTAAGGTTAGGGTTAGGGTGTGGTTTGCTACGATGAGTTTGTGCGAAGACGAGATGCGGCGACACTAACCGTAACCAACCCACACCCTAACCCTAACCCACACCCTAACCCTACCCCTAAACCTAACCCTACCCCTAAACCTAACCCTAACCCAAACCGTAACCGCATGATTATAGCAGGGCAGTGCACGCTGTCTATCGCCAACACACAGTAATTATGTCATTTGTTTCGTTCCTTACTTTCCACTACGTAATAACACTGCAGCCAGGGGACAGAACTCAGACTAACCGGCCGTCGACTGTTGTCTACCGGCCGCCGACTGTTGTCTACCGGCCGTTGTTGACAGGAGAGCCTGTTAACAACTAACATAAGCATTTGTTTTTTAAATGCTGCATGTACTCTTTAACACTGTGCAGTACAAAATATATATATATATAAATAATCAACAACAGAGAACAATATTAATGTGGTTAAGCTAAAAAATGAAGGTAATTTTTATCGCAAACAATAGAATGTGGCAGTCAATAGTTTTTTTGGGCTTCAATTTAATTTAGGGAGGCATTTTATTTCTTTGTTTAAAATGGATGGTGAGCATAAAGAACTGAAGAGAGAAAAATTAAAATATCTTTACAGAAACTAGAAGTATACAGTAGTAATGATAACTACAGCAATTAAAACTCACACTGCATATAAATGAAGAAACAAAAAAGTTACACAAAACCATCTGGCAGAAGACCACACAAAACAGAGACACTAATTTGCTCAAGGAAATTAAAAAAAAAAAAAATAATACACAGTTTAAAGTGACAAAGAAAAAATATTCAAAACACGTATTGACATCTTTTTCTTCTTCTTCTCGTTCATCATCATCATCATCAAGTGCCTTGCCGACTGACGTGGGCGATCATGCCTCTCCACAATCTGGGATCATGCCTCTCCACAATCTGCGATCCCCTGCAGAATGTATCAGTTTGTGTGCTGACACACCTCCATGCTATGCAACAAGACTTTCAAGAACCTTCTCTTGTTGTCCTTCTCTATCCCTCCTTCAACAGATCTTTCCAGTGGTCACAACATGTTCTATTTTTCCTTCTCATAACATGGCAGAAAAATTATGACTGTCTCTTGATGTCTGTGATAAGTTGTCTTCGGGTTCCCACCTCTTTCAAAACCTCTTAGTTGCTCTTTTTGGCTGTCCAAAGCATTCTTCTGTAAAACCACATCTCTGAGGCCTCAAGAAATTGTTTGGCCTGCCCATGGATTGTCCAGGACTCACAGCCATATTTTAAAACTGGATGTATGTAGCAAGCAAGAATTCTTTTTTTAAAACCCTCAATGACAAAGATATATTGCATAAGATGGTCTTTATTTTATAAAATGCAGTTTTTGCCTGTCCTATTCTATTTCTTATCTCAGTAATGCATCTTCCATCTGATGTTATCCATGTGCCCAGATATTTAAATTGCTGTACTTGTCCCAAAATAACACCACTGACTTTTATTACACATTTAGGAATAATTTTTTTTTTATACCACCATTACTTCTGTCTTCCTATGATTCAAACTGAGTCCCATTCTTCTACTTTCTAAACACCACAATGTCTATCATTTCCCATAGTTCTTTCCGACTTGTTGCTATCAAGACTGTGTCATCAGCATAACGTAAATTGTTTATATTGTGCCCACCAACCACAATTCCGGGCACATCAATTAAAGATCCCATTATATATTCACTGTATAGTGAAAATAAATCAGGTGACAGTACACATTCTTTTTGTATGTTCTCTTTATGCTCTGAAATGTACCTAAAGAGTTGTTAATTCTAATAGCTGCTGTTTGCTGCCAATACATATTCTTTATTATTTATAGATCTTTGCCATCAATGTTTGATTTTTCTAACAGTTTGATTACTTCTTCATGTTTCGCACAGTCTTCTCATTCATTGGCTGTAAACTCTGTCTCTGGCAGAAAGTTCTGGATGTTTATCCACTCCAGGACTTTGGTCTTGATCCAGGAGTTGAGTTCCTTGCCACTCAGGCAGATGCACTCTAACTTTCAAAGAAACATCGCTAACTAGTCCACACCTACAGCATGCTGGGGGGGGGGGGGGGCAGTGTATCTATTTTCCGTTCTAAGAAATAAAGCCCCGAACCCACACCGGTCATGTATTCACATAATACTCAATTATTTGTGCTCTCTCTTTCCAATTTTCTTCCCTCTCTCTTTCGCACACATGCATGCACACACACAAACTCACGAATAATGTAAATATATTATCTATGACAAACCTTTTTCATTCGTCTAAACAACACAGATGCCAAGAAACGAAAATTAATCCTGAGTTCATCAACAAATTCCTCATCTTCACTGAGATCCCTGCAAGAATTTAATAGCTGCATAGCATTAGCTGTAATAACATTTATTACAATGAAAAGGAGATGCTGTGTTTCTGAGAGGTTATGGTACCCACCTTAGATGCATAAGTTAGAGGTGTGTATCCCAAAACTGGTTGGCAACCTTTCTGTCTGTTTAGACGAGAGTCTCATAGTGTGCTTCAAGTGGAACCATGGAAACTACAGCCCATGGCAATGGCAAGTGTGACCAACAAGACACGCTGTGGTTAAAAAAGCTTTCCACAAATAGAGAAGGGGATTTCATGACCATTGTTTGCGACTGCATGAATTTTATGTACTTCTCTCAGATGCTCAGCTCCCGGGGAGGCTAACCCAGTCAACAATTGGCTGCAGAAGTAAGATGTGTCGACCAGAAGGTGCAGATATTGCAGCCATGCTTAAAGGGGCGAATTGCATTTACATCTTCAGAGGAACTCTGAATAAGAAGATACACAGCTCTTAACCTATATGCAATCATCTTCTTCTTTATCCCCGTTCCCCTCCTAACTGTCCTCACTACTTCAACACAGTAATTCCAGAACAAGGTTTGCCATTTTTACAAAAAACTGTTGGTTTTTAAAATAACATGCTCCATCTGATCATTTAAGTAGTGAAAATGAAATCCTAGCTCAGATAATGAGGATAGAAAATTCACTGAGATTTGTCTGCCTGATAAAAACTTAGATATTGTGCTACAAAACAAATAATTTGAAGGAAACCATGGATAAAGTATATTAAGGAGGATAGTGGTCCAGCTGTGGCATAAAAATATATAAGGTTGACTTTATCCATCAAAATTTACAGATTCTTTCTATTTGTAACTTTTCCTATTTTGTAAGGACAAACTAAGAAGAAACCTTTCAGCCACATAAATCTATAAACTATATGTCTACAGTGATTATTCAGCATATGAACTATCTGGTTTAAAATCTTTTAAAACACAAACAAAATGTCTACGGTGGATTGAGCTAATGGTGCGAGACTCACAGACCAATAGGCACTCGATGTATGATGTGTCCGCATTATGATAACAGCCTTACTTGCCAGGACATTTCTTGGTACCCATCTCAGGCCGGGACGGCCTAGGGGCCAATGTCAATAATTAATAAAAATCCAACCCTGTGTAAACTCAAACCCAAGACCTCTTTTCGCCTGGCAGGCAAGTGTCTAGTCACTGAGCTACTGTGGCTTTCAGTGTTTTTAAAAAAAAAGTAAGCTGTGTATCCTTTACAGGATGCTACAGAACCTTAGCAATATTTTTTTCTACTGTTTTTGATTTCATCAGGCAATTTTACACTTAGTAGCTCACGAGTGCCCTCTGAATGATCGGCTCTCGATACCATCGTCAAAACCAGTGGTCTACTGGCAAACCTCCCACCGCTGGGATCAAATCCTCAGAATTATGAAGCATGTTAGCAATGTCTAAACCCCCTTTGGGTAAAGCATGTTTATAAGAAAAATACATGTTATTTGTGTTGAACATTCTTACCTCCACCATGAATAAACATGATCTTTCAGAACTATTGTTAAAAACTGAAAGAAAAACAGAAAATAAGGAAATCGCATTAATTCATTCATTTGCCATGTATTTGTTTACCAATCTGGTACAATTCATTCATTTGTCATGTATTTGTTTACCGTCTGGTAATTTTGTTTCTCAAACTCTAGGCCTGTATGAGTTAGTTCTATTATGCTTCATCATTCAAACATCTCATGTGACTAATAGTGCCTCATACCACCTCTCTGCTATTAATGTCAAACAAAGACTAACAACGAAGAGCAAAAGGTCTCAACATACCAAATGAGCTGCTTGAGAAAAGTGGCTAATGGTAGGACAGAGCAAGAAACAGTGACATCAGACAGAAAATAAAAACAACAGTTTGAATTACACAGAGAACTAAACTTGTTGATCTGACATTAAGATCCACATGCCCACTTGATATGTTTATAGTTTAATGTTATAATGCCACCTAGGTTTCAGAATCAAATTTTTAGGGGGGAGGGGGGGGGGGGGAGAGAATAGACCCACTGTCCCTTAACAAGCATGTCATAAAAAGGCAACTAATTATGGGCCTGCTGAAATTGGGTGTGTTTGGCCTAAAGGCGTGGACATCGCAGCCTAGCTTTAAACCATAATATGTGAACTGCACTTGTAAGGGAGAGCAAAGAAGAAACAGTTTTTTAAGCTTTAACAATCAACGCCACTGCACATTCAGCAATCACATGGCCATCATCACAAAACCTAGAACATACTTTATAACATAGTACAAGTTTTCTTTTGCGCAGCTGCGTATGACTCAATGCCTTATTTTGTACTGGTCCAGTCTCTCCAGCTGGGTTCTGTTGAAATTAAGAAGACCCAGACTAAAGTCTACAATACTTAAAACAAGTCTCTGAAAGAGATGGAAAGGTAAGCATGGTTCAATCTTGGCTGCAGCTATCACCTTCAGTGCTGTCAGGCCGTTCCTAGCTTTGCGTACAGCATTCTACACATGATGCTTGTATAAAAAAAATAATTTAAAAAAAACACTAGTCAAAGGTAATGTTGAAGGTAATGTCAAGGTATTTCATCATTTCATTCTCTGAATGTCTATACCACAAATACTTACCATTAATGTAGGTGTAGTGGCAATCTGAGTGTTCAAGGAGAACTTGTACAGTACCCAGAAATATTGTTACAAGGCAAGAGAAGCTACAACCTCCACATACTTTCAGTTCTTATATGCTCCTTTATTGCCATTAGTAGTAGAATACTCTGGACAAAGACAAAGAAAAACACTGACAACCTTTGTGATCTGAACACGGAGGAGATTTGGCTCATAAACAGCATCCTGCTCTGAAAGCTGGGGTATTTTGGCCATGCTAAACATCAAGTTTGCATGGTGAGAATGGTGATAGAGGGTGCAGTTTCCACAAAAACATGAGGCACAGGATGACTTCCACGAAGCCAGATACAAGACACTAAAGATGCATTGGCTATAACAGCACACATGGCTGGATAACTGGCTAGAGAAAGAGAGACTTTCAGGCATGCCGTGACGAAAGCGACGTTCTGTAAAGGACCTGATAACTAGCAATACTAGTGGTGGTGCAGTATGAGGTTAAGTGGGTAGGTAGATAGCAGTAGCAGCAGCAGCACACACAATTGTTTTATTTTTAATGTTTAAAAGATCAGTGTATTACATCAAAGCTAAACAGAAGAAAATACAAACCTCATCTAAAGCTGCATCCACTTTTTGCCTAATGTCTAAGCTGGTCCACGGCTGAAACGCTAATATATTCAATTCTGGTCTGAAATTAGATGCAATGTTCATGAAACTAACAAAACTGCATATATTTATATGTTTTAGTTAAATATGTTTATGTGTTTGTCTACAATTGTTCTGCTATCTCTGCATGACTGGTGGGTACAGCTGTTACCATTATTCCTAACCAAAGCTACTAAGCTTGTTTGTTTTGTGTGATAAGGTGAAGTTTAAAGAACAAGTATATTTAAATATCTCAAGTTAATTTTCACTACAGATAATCCAAGTGTGGGTTCCACAGCGCTAATGAAGGGGAGAGGAAGAACAGAACCAAGCAAAACTCAAGTTCCGAAACAAGACTTTCCAGAAGTGGTTGAACAACCAAAACTTTCTGTCAGAGTTTACAGTCAGTTTTCATGAAGAAGAAAAGAATACAGATGGAAGAACTAATAGAGAAATCGATACACAATGTGCAAAGGCTACTCAGGTACTGGGACAACTTACACTACTTCTCGCACACAGACACCTATGACTACTAAGAAAAATATCATAAGAACTATTTTTAGCTACCAGGGTTCACTGCCAAATTTACCAATCGATTTCAAGGCTTTTAAAGGTCCTTTTCAAGGTCTCCTACGTTTTTTTCAAGTTGTTTCGGTGTAATACTGAAACAAGATTTTTGCCTTGTTCAAGAGTGTACCGAGCACACAAGGTACTTCAATCGTGCCACATGTGTGGGTATACCACAGCACAGATATCACATCATTGTGTAGCAGATCCTTTGCAGAATGTCACTCTTATCAGTCTGCCTGAAAAAAATGTGGTTTCTTACTAGCTCTCCAACCTCATGTACTTTCATACTCAAGGATACACTTATATCCTGTGCCCATCTTCGTGTTGGTCAGTCCCTGCTCCTCCTTCCTGGACCATGCCTTCTGCTATTGGTTTTCCAATCTGTCGTGGCACTTGATATAGTGTTTTTTAAATTTTTTTGTAGACTTGTGACAGAGAGCAGCAAACTAAAGTCCTGTCTGTTCTGGACCTGGTACCTGAAAGGGAAAAAAAAGGGGGGGGGGTGGGGGTGGGGGAAGAGAGAGAGAGTCATACAGAGAGGGAGGAAGACATCTGCTGAGGTAGACTGGGAGAGACAGTGTAAAGATGGACAGATGAAGGAAGAGGAAAGAGAGACTGGGGAAGGAGGAAAACAATATGACAACGAGAGGGAGGGATGGAGACATGATGAGGGAAAATGGGAGAGGGACAGCAAAAGACAGAGAGGGAGACAAATACACAAAGAGAGAGTTCACATACAGAGATGGGCAGAAAAGGAAGAAGGAAAAAAAGAGATATAGAATGAGGAAAAATATAACAAAGAGAGTTGGAGGAAGGGAGACAGAGGGATAGAGAAGGGAAAGGGAGATGCAAGCAGAAAGAGATATAGACATAAAGGAGAGAGAAAAAGAGGGACAGTATAGAGAGGTAAACAGAGGGAGAGAACCAAAGAAAAAAAAAAAAGGCAGAGCAGGAGAATGGGAGGGAGGTATACAAAGAGGAAGTGATGAAGGGAGGCAAACAGATATAAAGCAAGAGAGAGGTAGAGAGAGATGGGGGAGGAAAGCAGTGACAAACACAGATAAAGAGAGATGGGCAGGAAGGGAGACAAGATAGAGTAAAAAAAAAATGTCAGAATTGCTAACAAGTATAACAATACATCAAAGAAAAAAAAACCACCAGCCTCATGCTGAAACCCCACCCACTCCACCAACCATAACACAATTTCAAGTGTACTAGACACAACCTATAGGAAAAGACGGTTATGGGGGCAGCACAGCAAATGTAGAAGAACCAGAAAAAATGAGGGGGGGGGGGGGGGGGAATGAGAGAGGAAATCTAGAGAAAATGAGACAGGATGGAGAGGAGACAAAGAAGAGGGAGAGCAAGAGAGAACAAAGTAAGGAAAGGAAGAGAGGAAGGATTGAGATATAAAGGAGAAAAGTGGAAGATCAAAGGAAAGAGGCTGGTGGATCTGGGAGCCAAGGTCATTTTCTGAAAAAAGTCTGAGGGATCCAAACCTACCACTTGTGGAAAATAGAGTATGATACTGTTGTGTGCAATCCGAAGATCCACACTATGGACAACCGATAATGAACATGAGGTATGACGAGAGACACGATGTAACTTGCCGACAGAAATTTTTAGACAGACGACAGTTGCAAGAGATGTGTCAATGGCAGAGGTTGGAAACTAGGCTTAGCTGGATCCGTAGTTGTTGCCGCAGTTTGTGGGGAGCTTAGGGTCTGTACTCTGGCTTGGAGGTAAAGGAGTTATTCTACTTGATGCCGCAGTTTGTGGGGAGCTTAGGATCTGTACTCTGGCTGGGAGGTAAAAGGAGTTCTTCTACTTGATGCCGCAGTTTGCGGGGAGCTGAGGCTCATTGTTCCAGATTGGAGGAAAGTAATTATCTTACCGTCATTTAAAACAGTGACTGTAATATATGCATTTCATTGACACCCATTGTATCTGTGGGGAATTGTTCCATAAACGTCTTGGATTTGCCTGTCAACGACGTGATTGTAGCAGTTTCAACGGTTGACTTTGTTGGGGCGCTTTTCTGGCCGTCGTTGGTCTTTGTCCTTGGTTAACCCCTAGAAATAGTTTACTTGGAATTCGTACGGCATGGACCCGGGACTACACCTCACGGCCTAATTTATGAACAGAATATCACCGTACAGTAATGGAGACAAATATCGCCGTACAGTAATGGGTGTCAATGAAATGCATATATTACAGTCACTGTATTAAACGACGGTAAGATAATTACTTTCCTCCAATCCGGAGCAATGAGCCTCAGCTCGCCGCAAACTGCGGCATCAAGTAGAAGAACTCCTTTTACCTCCCAGCCAGAGTACAGATCCTAAGCTCCCCACAAACTGCGGCATCAAGTAGAAGAACTCCTTTTACCTCCCAGCCAGAGTACAGATCCTAAGCTCCCCACAAACTGCGGCATCAAGTAGAAGAACTCCTTTTACCTCCCAGCCAGAGTACAGATCCTAAGCTCCCCACAAACTGCGGCATCAAGTAGAAGAACTCCTTTTACCTCCCAGCCAGAGTACAGAGCCTAAGCTCCCCACAAACTGCGGCATCAAGTAGAAGAACTCCTTTTACCTCCCAGCCAGAGTACAGATCCTAAGCTCCCCACAAACTGCGGCATCAAGTAGAATAACTCCTTTACCTCCAAGCCAGAGAACAGATCCTAAGCTCCCCACAAACTGCGGCAACAACTACGGATCCAGCTAAGCCTAGTTTCCAACCTTTGTCATTGACACATTTCTTGCAACTGTCGTCTGTCTAAAAATTTCTGTCGGCAAGTGACATCGTGTCTCTCGTCATACCTCATGTTCATTATCGGTTGTCCATAGTGTGGATCTTCGGATTGCACACAACAGATACCAAATAGGTCAGGGCACCAGTGGACTTCCATTTCATTTCTGATTTTCCAATAACAGAAAGGAGAGGGGAGAGGAGGTGGTGGAAGGTGGTGTAGAAGTCTGAGATGGTAAGGGTGAGACTGAGGAGGTGAGAACAGTGAGAGAGAGAGGGAGAGAGAGAGAGAGAGAGAGAGAGAGAGAGAGAGAGAGAGAGAGAGAGAGAGAGAGAGAGAGAGAGAAAGAGAGAGAAGATTAAGAAAAGAAAGTTGAGACTGAGACAAGGAGAGAAAGACAGGAGAAAGAAATGAGATGAGATATAGAGGGAAGATGGTAGCAGGAAGGGGGTGCGCCCCCCCTCCTCCAGGTGTCATCACAGTAGGAGAGAAAAAAAAAAAAGGGGGGGGGGTGATAGCAAATGTGTTTTTAAAAGTACACATATTTTTAATATGTGTGTGAGGGAGGGGGGAGTGGTGAACATGAAATGTTCTGCACTGAGCAACACATAACCTTCTACACCAACTGAAGGTATGGAGAAAGAGAGAGGAATGAAGAGGGGGAGTGAGGTAGAGCGGCAAATACAAAGAGAAAGAGACAGAAAGTCAGTGACAGACAGGAAGAGAGAGAGGAACAAGTAGCACAAAATGTGAGGGGGCAGGTAGTGAGATTTACAGAGATTAGGGCCCGCTAACAAAAATAACATTTCAAAAGACTAAACTGACATCAAAAGAAAATATCCACCAGGTTCATGTTCAACACCCCCCCCCCCCCCCCCCCCCCCCCCCCCCATAACACAACTTCCTGTACAATTAGCAAACATTTAAACAAGAAATAAAATTGGAAGAGGGGGCGGGGGAGCCAGGTGTGACAATACGCTCGGTGACTCCAGAATGTCTTTCCTTAACCTACTTTTATTCCTTTGTGTTTCGAAGTATACCGAAATAAATGGTTTTGGATACATCCCTAATCTAAGTAGGCAAAATGAACAAACATTTAATTCTCCTGGGATGTTGGCGATATAACACACTAAAACTTTTCCCAGACGTTAAGTGTTGAGGTACAGAGATAAGACTGACCAAGCAGACTTACTGACTGGAGATTTGCACACCATTTGTTGGTGTCAGATATTTATCTCCTAGCCAGACCTTCAGGAACAGATAACAAGGGCTAATTGCCATTATTTCCCCCTGACGTTACCTAAACTGGAGTGCCGGTCAGATCGTCAATATTGACACAGTGAGCCGAAAGTGTTGGCAGAAGAATTGACAAAGTCTGATTTTATTGTGATGACAGGTGAAGTAGACTGGAGGTGTGACTTGGCCTATTAGCTTTGACCAGCTTAATTGAACCTGTAGAATGTGAGCGTGGGAATTTAAACAAGTGTTGTACAGCCCTGACTGACAGCGAATAAACTTACCCACAGGGGAGGAGCTGTGACATCCTTGAATGAGAATGATTTTAGGCGTAATGTAGGAGGAGCTTGATAAAAGTTATAAAGGGGTGAACTCTAGGTCTGGTAAATGAGTTCCTGTCCAGCACATGCCATCTGTTGGGCTTAACCTAAGCTTGAGACAGAACTTTTGGCATCGTGGTTTCATTTTCCAGGTAAGATCGAAATTAGGTTCAAATCTATATTTTGTGATAGAAATCTAACTGTCTTTTTGCTCAAGTGTGTGTCTTCATCACTTTGTAATACTCCTAGGCGGACATTTCTCCATTCTCGTAGGGCACTGTCACATTGCTTTATTTCCTATTTGATAGTGTCATGAATGTTTTTTTCGTGCACGTGTGTTTCAATGTTGTAAAACCTAAATGCTGTTGTTGCCATTGAAATTTAATGAACTATCATGTTTTTGAAATCACAAGCGTAAAGATAACTTTGGCAATCTTTTCACGTGTGGTTAATGTGAATCTGTATTACATACAGCTAACACACTGAAATGTGTTTAACTCTCGGGAGGCTAACGCGGAGATTGATCCCGGAGAGTAAATCCATGAGATTTGTTATTTGATTCGCCCCGGAACTATTGTTAGCATTCTGGGCGCGTCGATTGTTCCAAGCATAGATTCCAGAACTGGTTCTGTCTGACTGATTGTCATTTTGAGTCTGTACGAGAGATGGTACCTGACGTAGAAGACTTGACTATCATTACAGGACGTGTAGAGGAAGGCAGAAGATGTAACAGTTGGAATGTGAGACATAAGCCCTTCCAAATTGGACAGGAGTGAATGTGAGCATGAGGGAGAGATGAAATGTTTTATTTAAATAAACATGCTTGATGTTAGTATAATATACATGCTTAGTGTACATCTAGAGCAGATACTACAAATATGCGCTTGTTTCTTCATATAGTCCAGTTTCTCACTTGGGTGGGCATTGTTAAGGTTCAAACCCACACCCTCACTATATCAGTGTATTTACCCACGTGGGCGCGCGACACCAGGAAATGAAAGAGAAAAACAAAAGATAGAAAGAGAAGAAGATGAAGATCAGAGAAGGGGAGAGATATTGCAGGAGATAGGAAGGAAGGAGCAAGATGTAGAAGATTGAAAGAGGAAAGGAGAGACAGAGAGAGAACAGAAGAGGGAAACTATTTGGGAATTACAACACACTGTAAAGATAAACTGGGTCAAAGATAGAATAGGGAAATCAAGCTGACATTATTTTTCTTGGCCCCCACCATCTCCTTCTGTAATTCTTGTTTTTAAAAACCACGACCATGAAGCTATTTATGCTACTAATACTGCTGGACTCACTAGAAACAAAGGCACACAACATAGCCTGCCTTTCCCTAGCCTTTAACAAGCTATTTCAGCTGAGAATCAAATGCCCTTAAACGACCGTAAAGTAGCTGAAACTAGCTAAATGGCCAACAAAAGCCTAACTACCATAAATCGCAGGACATCCGACGATCTTATTGAAGCGGTAAAATTCCAGGCTTTCAAGGTCAGTATGCCTTTTCCAAGGTTAAAAAAATAAGGCTCAAGTTTGGGGCCACAATTCCAAGGTTAATTTCAAGTTTCCTGGTCGGCTACGAACCCTGTAGTACTGGTGTCAAACATGGGCCCTTACAAATAATTAGTGGAAAATAGTAACAACAGAGACAATATGTCTTAGAAAAGCTACCTGGAGTAACAAGAAGAGAAACAATTAAAAATTAAGAAATTATTTGAAGACTAGAACTCTTCTTCTTCTTCTTCGCGTTCACCAGCTGTACACTCTGGCGGAAAGTTCTGGTTGCTCGTCCACTACTGAACTGCAGTCCTGCTCCAGAACCTGAGTATTGCATGTGCATCAGTTTTACAGATCTCATTCTCTTGAATACAGACTGTTGGTTCCTTGCCTCTCCGGCTGATGCACTCCGACTTCAAAGGAAGCTCCCCAATTATTTGACTCTTACGACATGCTTTTGGGTAGGCAGTGGGTCTATTCTTGTTTTCCCCACAATGGGGCCCCGGAACCCACACGGGGGAAGACTAGAACTAAAATCTGTCATAAAATTAATTAAAGAGCAACAGATGAAATGGATCAGCCATCAGATGAAAATGTCATAGTACCAACTAACACAGAGAGGCATGCTGAAGAAACACAATGAACAGAGAGACAGCTGTCACCTGAATTTCATTCTATCATTTCAAACTTGTATATCGTTTCTAAAGGTTGAACATATGTAACGGAACAAGATTTATGCTACAAGAAAAATTATCCTGAAGTAGATGAAGCATCATACCCAAATAACAGAGCTGTTGAGAGACTTTTCAAACCACAAATGGTCAAAGAATATGAATGTAACTACAACAAATGATAACAATAATAAAATTAATATGCTCATAGGTATATAACTACCAAATGAGTGGACTGTCTTGCTAACTGGACCACAGTAGGCATGTGCCAAGCAATGGACTGAGACGGTGTTCTAAATGCTCTCAAGGAGGCAGGACAAGTTGATGATTCAGGAGAAGAGAATGATTCAGCAACCTTGACAAGACTACAAAAACACCATGTCAAAAAAGGTGTTTACAGACACAATAAATAACAAAAGTAAAACCTTACCTATGTCTGGGACACTTTCGTAAACCAACAGTCATTAATGTTAGCTCACTGCTTGGATGCTGGGATTCAAGTTACACTGTGGAAAAGATTGTGTCCTCATCATGTAATATTCCCAAAATTAGTAGTAGGTACACTGTAGCCAACTTCCATCATAGAGATGGCAATAGAATTTTTTTTTTTAAAGACTCATAAAGTAGATTCACCATCAAAACAAAAACTCACATTATTATGTAACAGGTCCTTTGTAGAATGCAACTCCTTCCCATGTGGGTTCTAATGCCCCCCTTTTGGTTTGGAAAAAACATTATAGACCCACTGCCCCACTAAAAGGTATTTGTAAAAGTTGACTAATTAGTGGTATCTCCTTTAAAGTTGGACTGTATCTGCCTGAGAGGCAAAGAACTAACAGTCCTCATACATGTAAGCCAGACCCATAAAATGGATGTGCGAGCAAAATTCAAAGTCCAAAACCAGAACTTTCTGTGGGCGCTTTCAGCCAGTGAACACCAAAAAGAAGAATGCTACTAGCATCAAGATTGCCAATAAGCCGCTGGGCCCTAGTGCCTAAGGTCACACATTTTCATTCCCAAGATGTTGCCAATATTCTGTGTCCACTTTCAATGTTGGTTGACTTGCGGCACTTTCAATGCTGGTTGACTTGCCTCACTTTCAATGTTGGTTAACTTGCCACACTTTCAATGTTGGTTGACTTGCCTCACTTTCAATGTTGGTTGACTTGCCACACTTTCAATGTTGGTTGACTTGCCTCACTTTCAATGTTGGTTGACTTGCCTCACTTTCAATGTTGGTTGACTTGCCTCACTTTCAATGTTGGTTGACTTGCCTCACTTTCAATGTTGGTTGACTTGCCTCACTTTCAATGTTGGTTGACTTGTCTCACTTTCAATGTTGGTTGACTTGCCTCACTTTCAATGTTGGTTGACTTGCCTCACTTTCAATGTTTCCATGTTCTTCTTGGTCTATCTTGTGATTTTCTCCATTTTTTTTGGTGTATGCCTTGTATGGTATGGCGTCTACAATTGATTTTAACAATACACAGGAAAACTAGTTTTAATTACCTTAGATTTTCTGGCGTACATTGGAAGTAAATTTGGCAGCACTGTATCTGGGCTGTAAAACCAAAATAAAGCACAATTTTAACAATCAAGTAATATTTCAGCCTGCTTCCTGTGTGGGTTCCAGGGCCCTGTTAAAGAAAAACAAAAACAGACCCACTGCCTACCCAAAAGCATAAGAGTCATCTAATTGGGAGCTTCCTTCAAAGACAGGGTGCATCTGCCTGAGGCAGGGAACCAGAAGTCTGCATACAAATGAGTCAAATCTGTAAAACAGATGCAAACGCAATAGTCAGGTTCTGGAACAGTCAAAAAATGGATAAACAACCAGAACTTTCCGCCAGAGTTTACAGCTGGTGAACGCGAAGAAGAAGAAGATTTCAGCCTGCATGTTGACAATAATGTCAACAAAACTGAATATTCACATGCACAAATTATTTTCATCTCAGTACATAATATTAAAACTAATTTACAAATATTTAATTTCCATGGAAGCATAGGAAGCACACACAACAATGAAAAAAAAAATTTTTTTTTCCCTTTGTGGATTCTGTGGCCACATTTGTTGCAAAAAGGGGGGGGGATACACCCACTGCCCCCCTCCTTTCCCCCCAACAAGCTTGTCATAAAAGTTGACTGATTAGGGTTATTTCCTTCAAAGTTGGAGTGCATCTGGCCGACATATGAGGGACCAATAGTCTGCACACAAATAAGCCAAAACTGTAAAACCTATGCGCATGCAGAATTCAAATTCTGGGGCAAGACTTAAGTCCAGAAGTGGACAAATGACCAGAACTTTCTGTCAGAGTTGACAGTCAGTGAAAAGGAAGATCATTTAAAACAGATCCAATTTTTTATTTTTTTTATTTTTAATTACTTCTGATAAAGAAAGTAGAGTGATATGTTTTTCTTTATTATAAAATCAATTTTTATCGATCAAATTATAAATAATTTTTCTGTCAATAATTGACTGTTTACTAGAATGGCATAAGACAGATAAACAAAGTGTAAAATGTTGTGTTTAAACTTAAGGATGTTAACTACGCTGAGCAGTTTTAAAGCTATCTTAGTATTAAGAAAACATTAAAAACACATTATAGTTATTCTACTAAGACTCATAACAATGATATAGTTTCTTTTCCAGAAAGGAAAGGTTGCATAGGAAAGGAGACAGCCACCTTATGCTTTGCGGAAGGGCAGAATGTTAGGCTGGCCTGCGTGCCCCATTCTTAACCCTTTGAAAACAAAGCTTGTTCGTTTGTTTGTCATCATCTACTTGTGCCATTTATACATTATAAAGGGCTCAGAGATGATTTCCTGATTCTAAACGAAACCAAGAATTGACTGGCTGTAATTACATTCATTTCCAATTTTACCTAAAACAGTTTGCCATTGCTTTCTTAAAAAATATCACTCTCAAAGTCAATGCAAAGTGGTCTGTTACTAAATTTCCTCCATTAAAGAGGAGGAACACTATTATTGGCCCTTACTGGTATCATGACAGGCTGTGATTCCCAGGATTACATACAGCACATGGAACAATATTGTCTGGAAAGAAGGAAAGGTGCCAAGAACAAAATAATCAATCACAGAGCAAGAATTTGAGCACTCTAAGTTAAGATAAGGGGATACAAGATCCTAATTAAAAACTGATTTTAAAAAAAAAAGTAATCTTCTTCTTTGCGTTCACCAACTGTAAACTTTAGCGGAAAGTTCTGGTTGTTCATCCACTTCTGGACTAAAGTCCTGTTCCAGAACCTAATTGTTGCATGTGCATCCGTTTTACAGATCTTACTTATTTGTATGCAGACTGTTGGTTCCTTGCCTCTCAGGCAGGTGCACTTCAAAGGAAGCTCCCAATTAGTCGGCTCTTACATTTTTTGGGGGTCAAATATTTTTCATTACTTTTTTCCCCGTGTATATTGTGGGCAGGCAGTGGGTCTATTCTTGTTTTCCCCACAACTGGGCTCAGATTATACACGGGGAAAAAAGTAATTAAAAATATTTGACCCCAAAAAAATGTTTAAAATAAAATGTAATGCTTTCAGTGAAAAGTCAATAAATATAAAAAATATTGAAAGGTCTTTCATTTCACATTTTCCCCTGTATAGGAATCGGAGCCCTATTGTGGGGGAAACAAGAATAGACCCACTGCCTTCCCAACAAGCATGCCATACGAGTCCACTAATTTGTGGCATCCTTCAAAGCTGGAGTACATCTACCTGAGAGCCAAAGAATTAGGAGTCTGAATACAAAAAAGCCAGATCTGTTTACTAGAAGACCCAGCTTCTGGAACAAGACTAGATTCCCGAGGTGGTCGAACACCCAGAATGTTCAGCTGGAGTTTACAGACTATGAACGTGAAGTCAAGAAGATTCTATATTTTCCAATGTTATATTCACAAAATCTTTTCAATGTCAGTATATATATATATATATATATATATTTTTTCCAAGGGAAAAAAAAGCAATGCTAAAGACAATTCCCCACTTGATCTAAACCATCTTTTTTTTTCAGACATTAATGAAAGAAAATAGCATCAAGCAAATAACTAGATATTTAGATTCAGTAGAAATGGCTAGAGTTGACCAATTTTCTTTTCTCTTTAATCCTAGTGGATCTTAAGCCCTGAACCAACTCATGTCAAGTTGTCCTATTCCTTGTTAATGCATGCAATTCACTTCCTTTTCTCAGACTTCCCTCTCTAGTTGCCTTCTACATACTTTCTTGTTGTTGTTAGAACTTTATTCTTTTGACCCTGCGGGTTCCTCTGCAAGGATATAACTTGTTTTTTCCAGGCTAATTCATGGTTGAATGTTTTTGTGTGTCTTTTGTTATTTTTTTAAATATAGGAAACAATAGCCAACCGCAAGCCCAACCTTATCCTTAGTCACCTTTTATTTTTATGACACTAAATGAATCAATCAATCAATCAACCGAAAATTGACATCACTGAACTGGGGACATTTCCATATAAGCTCCGTATCCTTCCTCAATAGCCCAAAAAAAAATCAACATCCTAACTATACCGGCTGCAACATGATTTAAAGTCCGCCTATGTTTTCCCTACAGTGTTGAATATCTTTCAGAATCTCTACTCCCAGCCCCCCTCCCCCGACCTTGAATTAGTCTTTCTATGAATGGATTCTCTGTTTGTTCTATTACTGTATTACAATATCAATTTGATCAAAGAAAATCTTTTTAGACAATGAAGGTTTTTACTTTAATACTGTGTCATCTAAATCCATTTCTTTTCTTTTTTTTGCTCTACTTGCAATAATGGTTCTAAATGAACTACACTGAAAGTTAACCCAAACATACCCTCGCAACGCAGACAGTTAACCCACACAGAGGCTCACTCATATGTAAAATACACATTTTTTTGCGCCGATTCAGCTGTGTCAAAAGTAGGATTAACTGTGGACGACATTATCGCGAAACGCAACGGATTTTTCACGGTGGTTACGCAGCGGCATAACTAGGATTAACTGGGGACGAAAAAAAAATTACCGACACTCGAGAATACTCCCGATAGCGCTATCGTACGGCACAGCCCGAGTTATATGTAAGTTGCGGACCGCTTTTCACCGACCATAGTGCCACCTCCTAGTGTATCCCCCGCGCCGCTATGCGCGGCGCGGAAGGGGCTAAACTAGATGGCTAGGACTCACTAGCAGCAGCTACCACAGCTCCTGCAGCTTCCTCCAATGTATTTGCTAGTGAGTCCTAGCCATCTAGTTTAGTTCCTTCCGCGCCGCGCGTAGCGTCGCGGGGGATACTCTCAGAGGTGGCACTGTAGTCGCCAGAAAAAGTCAACAATTTACAGGAGCTACTTCATTTGTCGGAACTACCAGCGCCATCGCAGCGGCTGCTGGTTTGACATTGTCCGTGGCAACATACTCGTACATTAAACTGCGCATTAGAGCTGATCACGTCTCGCTGGAAACGAGAATCGCGGACAGGCCGTGCTGAGTTGCGATAGCGGACAGCGAGAAACAACAGATATTCGCACACTATTTGCAACTAGTGTGCCACAATTTCCACATATCAAGGATTTAATTTTCGGTAAGTAGTAGACTTTGCCCTTTTCCTGATACTTTCCATTCCTTATATTTCCCGAGTTACAGCTTTTAAATGTTTGTAGGGCAGGACGTAATGAGGCTCTGTTTGGGGTTAACTTTCTGCGTAGTTTATTTAGAACCGTTATTCCAAGTAGAGCCCTTTATTTTATTAAATTATCAAAATACAAGGACATTTCATAATGACTTCCATTACCAGATCACTGATGGGTCTCCAATATTAAAATTATTAAAGTAATAAATTATTATTCAGGTAATCTGGTAATCCTAGTTTCAGCTTCATAGCAAACGGGTCACCCCATAGTTGCTCCGCTCCTGTGCCAACGGCCACCGAAAAACACACGTAGCTCGCAGTGTTATTCGGGTATGGTGGTTTGTTATTGTTAGATTCATGATGTGCTGACAGCAAAGCAATAATGACAAATTTAATGTATATGATAGGAGGAATAAAATATCAGTTAATTTGATACTCAACCAAGCTACAGTAGCAGATAAGATAAACTGATAAACTTTAAATAAGTCTTTAAAAAATAGCTGGCCGACAGACACTCAGACACTCGACACACACAGCAGTCACCTTAGTATCTTAAATTCGTGAAATAACATTGTCTGCTACAATACAACTTACTCGAACAAAAGCACATTTGCAATCAATAAAACAATGCATGCTACTGTAAATCGCATGTGTCGCTGAACATAATATTTAAGCAGGTACCAAGGAATCATTGTCGATCATCTTGAGAAAACATCCGTTGATTTTTGCTGTAAACAGACTCCCCTCCCCTACTGATGATTTGTCAGACTTATCTCCCCTGGTTTTCACCGGAAAAAAGACACCTGCTGTAAACTTCGAACGCTGAAAATGGATGTTTAGTCGAGGTCATGACCTCACTTTAGACGAGTTGTCCTTTTAACTGCTTCGTCCCCGTGCCATTGGAAAACATTTAACACCTCCCTCGCTGTTCAGTTTGAAAAC